TCTGATGTGGGGTTAGTGAAGATCTTTTCCCATTCTGTAGGCTGTCGTTTTGTCTTGTTGACTGTGTCCTATGCTTTACAGAAGCTTTTCAGTTTCAGGAGGTCCCATTTATTAATTGTTTCTCTCAGTGTCTGTGCTGCTGGGGTTATATTTAGGAAGTGGTTCCCTGTGCCAATGCGTTCAAATGTACTTCCCACTTTTTCTTCTATGAGATTCAGTGTGGCTGGCTTTCTGTTGAGGTCGTTGATCCCTTTGGACTTTAGTTTTGTGCTTGGTGATAGATATGGGTCTATTTTCATTCTTCTACGTCTTGATATCCAATTATGCCAGCACCACTTGTTAAATATGCTTTCTTTTTTCCATTTGAAAGTCTCTGGTTCAAAACTGCGTGGTGTTAAGCCGTGCCTAACTGTATGTGTGCAGACCAGAAGAGGGCACCAGACCTCATTACAGATGGTTGTGAGCTACCATATGGTCTCCAGGAATTGAACTCAGGACCTTTGGAAGAGCAGGCTGAACCATCTCTCCAGCCCCCTCTCAGGTTTTAAGTGGATTTTAGTTGGCCACATTGGTGCCAATTTGTAGTATGAAGCCGCTTCTTCTGTTTCCAACTGCTCAGTCCTGAAATAATCACACAGATACCATACTATTTGCAATACCGTTTAGCCAATAGCTTAAGCATATTTCTGGCTAATTCATGTCTTAAATTAACCCATCTCCATTAATCTGTGTATTGCCATGAGGGTGTGGCTTACTGGGTAAAGTTCCAGCTTCTGTCTATGGTGGGGCCACATGACTTCTCTGCAAGTCTGTCTTCTTTCTCCCAGCATTCCATTTAGTTTTACCTGCCTGCCTCTATTCTGCCCTGCATAGGTCCAAGACAGTCCTTTATTAACCAATGGTATTCACAGCATACAAAGGGGAATCCCACATCAGTTCCTGGCTACATAGTATTTTTTTGTTTTTTTTTTAAAGACTTATTTGTTAATTATGTATATAGAATTTTTTCCTGCATGGATGCCTTCAGACCAGAAGAGGGCACCAGATCTCATTACTGATAGTTGTAAGCCACCACGTGGTTGTGGGAATTGAACTCAGGACCTCTGGAAGAGCAGTCAGTGCTCTTAACCTCTGAGCCATCTCTCCATCCCTACATAGTATTTTTTATACTTAGGTTATTATTAGTATTATCATCATTTTGAGACATGTTACCGTAGTACAAGGCTGGCCTGGAACTTACTGTGTAGCCAAGGCTGGTTTTGATACATGACAGTCTTTCTGCTCTGTCTCCTGACTGAGAGTAAAGAGGTGAGCCACCATGTCCTGCTTTGTATTTATGTTAGTTAGAAAAACACGAAAAAGACAATGCTTTGTGGAAATGATTTTATACTGTGAATTAGTGTTCTTTGAAATTAATAGATTTCTGCTTCCTTTTCTTTACGTAGTTAGACACAAAAAGTCATCCCATCGGTAGTAGAGATTTAAAAAGAAAAAAAAAGAGGAAGCTCCCTGCAAACCCTAGCACTCTCTGATTGTGTAACAGACTTCCTAGGGAGGACACCGTGCTTCCCAACCACATCTACTTACTTAAATAAGGAACTGATTGTCAGAACAAAGAACGAATACTATCAAAGTCCTACTTGGTGAACTAAGGAGTTTTATTAGGGTTATTTACAGGAGCAGAAAGGACTCAAAGACAGTTGCATTACCAAAGCTGGACACCTAGTAGACACACCTCTACTGACTGAGGATTGTCCTTTCCAGATGGCTTAGCTGGTCTCTGATCCCAGGGATTTGTCTGAGTGTGACTTAGCAGCCTATATATATGGATGTGTTTATGTATTCTTGGGGAGGGAGAAGCCTAGTGAATCTGGTGAGATTTTTACTTTTTATTTTAACATTTATTTTTATGTGTATGAATGTTTTGCCTGAATATATGTGTTTATATATTCTTGGGAAGGGAAAGGCCTAGTGAATCTGGTCAGTTTCAGGGACTTCCTGAAGCTGTTTTGATTTGTTTGCTTCTTATCTTGAGCTTCCCTGCAGGATGGAATGTTTAACCTCCAGGAAACTGCTGCTCAGTCACGCCCTCTAAACATGCCAGTTACTCTGCATTTGTCTTCAGTCTTTGTATAAACTTAAAATAACATCTGTTATATTATCTAATTAGAACAGGGGTGGCTCAGTTGGTAAAGTGCTTTCTGTGTAGTCACGAAGACCTGAGATTGGATTCCCAGCACCCATATAAAAAGCAGTGTGCAGCCAGTGCTGTGGAGACAGACAGGAGGATCCCTACGGCTTTCTGGCCAGCCACTCTTGCCAATCAGCAAGCTCCAGGTTCAGTGAGATCATTTCAAAAAAAAAAAAAAAGGTGTAGAGCAGTAGAGGAAGACTGTCCTTCTGTGGCCTCTGCACGCGCATGCACACTTATACCAACACATACGCACAAAATAAAATTTTGAAGTTCAGAATTGACTTTTTTCATTTCAAATATAAAATACTATTCCGTTTTGTAATAGTATTAAGTGGCCTTTTAATCCAGTAAAATGACTTGGTATATTTAGTAAAAGGTGTATTTTCAGTTTTTGTTAATATTAGAAATAATCTCTGTCCACTGAACGTCATTGTTTTTTACTTTTACCTTATTGCAGTATAGGGTTTGAACCCAGGGTGTGCAAGGTTCTCAGCCCCAGCTGCTTGCTTGCTTCCTTTTTCAGAGTGAGTTTGTTCTTTTATCTTTTATTTTAACATTAATTTTTCTGTGTATGAGTGTTTTGCCTGTATATTTGTATGTGTATCCGAGGCATGCAGTGTCTGCAGAGGACAGAAGAGGGTGATGGATCTCCTGGAACTGGTGTTATAGACAGTTGTGAGCTACCGTGCGGATGCTGGGGACTGAACTCGGGTCCTCAGAGTTCATGTCCTCTTAACTGAGCCATCTCTCCAGCTCCTTTTCATTTGCTTTTTAAGATGTCCTTAAATCTCTTTTTAATGATCATTTTTGCGTATAGGTGTTTTGCCTTCATGTATGTCCATGCACCACATTCGTGGCTGATGCCTGGGGAGACTGAAAAAGGCCATTTGATTGAGCTGGAGTCACAGATGTGAGCTTCCGTTTGGGTGTTAGGAATTGAACCTAGATCCTCCAGAAGAGCAACAAATGTTCTTAACCACTAAGCTATCTTTCCAGCTCCTAATGTAGTGTTAAAAAATAGCATATATTTTAATTTACTCCATTAGAATAATAGATTTCATCATTACATTTTTATGCATGGATAGGGATGATTTATTCTGAGATAATTTTCTGAAGTAAATTTGTAGCTGTTTTTTTATGGCCTAAAGGTAGTTTAGTGGATTTTTTTTTTTACATTTTCTCATATGTAATAGCAAAGCATTATTAAGACTGTAAAATATATTATCTATATAGCCTTTGGGATATCAAGAAATAAAATGGTCTGGAGAGATAGCTCAGCTGTTAAGAGCACTTGCTGTCCTTGCGGAGGAGCCAGGCTTAATTCTCTGGATGCATATGGCAGTCTAGTTAACTCTAGTTCCACAGCATCTTGTGCCCTCTTCTGGCTTGTATGGGCAGCAGGCACAAGCCGAACATCCATATGCATAAAGTAAAAAATGAAAATAAAAGGAAACGTCTATATATATATAGACGTTTATATAATATATATATATATATATATATATATATATATATTTTAGGCCAAGTCCTGCTGTCCTTGGTCTTGTGGCAGTCTTTCTGCCTCTCCTGGGATTCCGTGCATGTGCAACCACACCTGCCATAAAACTATCACACTTCTTTTAAGAGTGTGCACACTTGTGCCATGGAATGTGTATAGAAGCCAGAAGTCAGCTGCAGGTGTCGTTCGTTGCCTTCCTTCTAGAAACAGGGTGTCTGTGTAGCCCAGCTAGCCAGCCCGTGGACTTCAGGAGGGCACCCTGTCTTTGCTGTACGAGTGCTGCAGTGCAGCCTTGAGCTGCGGCTTTCTGTGGGTTCTGGGGACCCGAATTCATTGTCATATGGCTAGCGTTTTACCCCACACTGCCACAGCTCTGTCGGTGTTGAGTGTCTTTAATACTATCATTAGAGCGGGGGTGGTAGTGTAAACCTGAATCCCAGTGTTAGGGGAATGGAGGTCAGCTTGGGCTGCATTTCAAAATGAACAAAAGACCTCAAATCCTCAAATACACATTATTACTCTGTCAGCTCTAACAAAAGATTTTCACTTTTCTTTGCACTTTTCTGCATTGAGTATCTTTAGGTCTTGGTAGCGTGAATAGCAGAAGCAAAAACAATCAGCCGGTCGGTGGTGGCGCACATCTTTAATCCCAGCACTCGGGAGGCAGAGGCGGGTGGATCTGAGTTTGAGGACCGCCTGGTGTACATAGCGAAACCCTAACTCAAAAAAACAAAAGTAAATAACTAAATAAAGTAAAGTAAAAATATGTCTTTAGTCAGTTTTAAAGTACTAGATTTCTAATAAATGGGGACTCTGTGCCATGGTGGCACATGCCTGTAATGCCATCATTTTGAAGACTAAGGCAGGGTGGACTGCATATCAAGGCTCTCTCATCCCTTTCTCTGCCATAACAAAGGGACTGGCTCTGTAGTGGAAATGTCCTCCAACCCCCAACCCAGACAGGGTTTCTGTGTAACAGCCCCAGCGGTTCGGAGCTCACTGTAGACCAGGCTGTCCTTGAACTCAGATATCCACTTGCCTCTGCTGGGATTAAAGGTGTGCACCACCGCTGCTCGCCCAGAGATGTCTTACTCTCGATTTAGGGGCGCATTTTAAGTAGGATTTTGCTACCGAAGCACTTTTTTAAACCTGTGTGACCAGGTACGAGTTACTTATTTTAGCAGTTAGCTCTGCTTCGTTTTTAGTTTGCCTGGAAATCGGAACACTGCTGTGCAGTGTTGTTCCCAGTAGTGCACGCTGGGAATAGTTCGTCTGGTTTTGAGATGCTGTATTAAGTAGACTGGTAAGTTCCCGTTATGAACTGTATATTTAATGAAGGACACACAAGTGCACACTTCACCTGTTTTCCTCTAGAGATCTTGTAGGCATTCAAAGTCAGAAGCAATTTTGTTGAAACGATTGGCTTCAGGAAATTTTCATTTTCCTCAGACAAGGCAGAATTCTGTTTTTAAAGCTTCTGTTCATCTTCTGAGAAGGGCTAGACCACCTCACTGTCACGTTTTCTGATGTTGTCCATCATATTCCTGAGAGGGTTCGGCTCGCTCTTCAAGTCCTTCACAGTTTTGTTCTTCGCGCAGCAGCAGCAGTCGAGTGCTTCGTAGAGGAAAGCCAGCACCACTAAGGACACCACGGTAAAGATGAACACAAGCAGGATGACAAAGCAGGCAGTGTTCCAGTTGTCATGGAAAGGGTAGATGGTTTGCACTTGAAAGCCGAGGTACTGATAAACAGAGGTGCTGGTCTCATTCCAGTGGCTAGAAGCCATCCTTGAGGCCCCACTTCTTTATGGATGTTTGGAGTCTGCACGAAGGGAGAAAGTGAATTATATAACCAAATACAGATTTGTGCGCTCAGATCTCAACACTAAAGTTCCTTAGTAAGTTTTTAGTAACTGTGGACTTTAGTTATGATCTAACAAAATTAATGACTGAATTACATTTAATTTTTTTTGTGTTTATGCCAACTAGTAAATTGTACCCTAGTTTTTATGTAGTTCTCTTACTAGATATTTAAGACACACACACACACACAGACAGAGAAAAAATTTACATATCACCAGCTTGAAACAGTGGTCACTGAGCAGTTATCTGTGGGAAGGCTTGTCATTGCCCTTCAGGTGCTGTCTCCTATTGTCACTCTGTCAAGTTCTATCTGAATTTAGAAATTGTAGCTGTATACAAAATAACGAAAAGAAGAGCCAAATACTGACAGTTTTCAGTATGAAGATAAAATAAAGTTTTAGACTTAAGTAGCCTGGGAAGTGATGTTTGTTGGGATTATTAATTAGTTCTGTAGATAAATAGTCTTGGGTGTTTCATAACCTAAGCGCTCCACGGACAGTAATGTTTAAAGTGGATACATTTAGGGCTGGCGGGATGGCAGAGGAGGTAAAGATGCTTGCTGCTAAGCCTAGTGACCTGAGTGTGATCTCCAGGATCTGCGTGGTGAATAGAACTGACTATGCAAGCTTCCTCTGATCTTCATGGCTTGGGAAGTGCACCCCCATGAAAATGTAATCAACTTTTAAAAAGCAGATAAATTTAACCCTTTAAGAAGTGTCAATTATTAATTTCTTCAAGTAAGCTAGTGAGTTAAATTTCTGTTTTTATACCACTGGACTCCTTACTTGACCCCTACTTTTGTTTTTTTGTTTTGTTTTTAAACTTTTATAGTTCATCGTGGTCTTAAATTTGGTATGTAGTTGAGATTGATTTTTGTATCATTTTTCTTTGCCTCCTTAGAGCTGGGACTATAATAAGGTGCATTACTATCCTTGCTAATTTTAGTATTTTTGTAATTCTGTTCACCTAATATTTGTTGTCCCTTACATGAGAATGTGAGGATTGAAAATTTGCTAGTATAGAAATATTGTAATTAGTTTTTTTTCTTTTTTGAGATAGGGTCTGACTATGTAGCCTTGGCTGGTCTGGAAGTTACTCCGTAGACTAGGCTGTCCTCAAACTCACAGAGGTCTGCCTGCCTCTGATTCCCAAGTACGGTGATTAAAGACATGTGCCACCATACCCAGTCCCCATTATTTTGGTCTTTAAAAAATATTTTAAAGAGTCATTAAATACCTATCCAGTTTAAAAAAGGAAAAAGAAAAGGGAATGAACACATGATTCTATTTCTTTAATTTGCTGGTATTTTTATGCTTTTTCTTTACTATATTCTTATAAACAGGGTTTCATGTGTATTCACAACAAATATTTATCACCCAGTGTACTACTTGGTTATCTAAATTGTAGAGATGTCTTTTATGTGTCTAGAAAACTTCAATATAGCACATGAAGGCTAAATAATAAACTGGGCATTATGGTACATGCCTGTGATCCTGGCACTTGGGACACAGATGTAGGAGGAACATGAGTTTGAGGCCTGCCAAGGCTCCATTGGAGTTCCAGATGGGTTTCAGCTGTGCAGTGAGACTTTTGTCTCAAAAAAGCAAAAAACATGTAATAAACCCGTGTGCTCATCGCTCCATCTTCATTAGCATTGCTGCCCTTTGTGCTCTACCCACTTGCTTCTGTCACGTGCGCAGTCAGCTCCTAGACGTGATTCAATCTAGAAATATTTCAGTACTGATTTCTAAAAGATGAAGACCGTATTTCTGAATACAAGCATGGTGTTATATTTCCACACTCAAACTGTGAAGTTATTGGTTAAATTTGTCTTCCTAGTAAACAGAGTATTATAACTTTTACCAAAGTTATGTTTTCTGAGGTTTTAGTTTCTGTTGTAAATCAAGTTTGTTTTATAAAATCCCACCTCTATCCGCTTGCTTACTTCCTATATTTTGAAGGTTAGATGTATTATCTGAAGCCAGAAGTAAAGGCTTACATATGTTTTGTTGGGACTTAAAGCTTCTGTGTCATGGTGCTTGATCACTCTTCGTTCTTCAGTGAGAAACAGCAGACTTAATGGGTAGTTACATTGTCCGTAAGTGAGGTGTCATTTCATACTACATTTTATGTTAGCTTTGTCTCTAGACTTAGGATTTCAAAATTATCTTAGTGGGGCTGGAGAGATGGTTCAGCGATTAAGAGAACTGACTGCTCTTCCAGGGGACCTGGGTTCAGTTCCCAGCACTCAGATGGCAGCTCACAACTGTCTATAATCAGCTCCAAGTGATTTGACACCCTCACACAGACAGATGCAGACAAAACTCATATAAAATAAAAGTCAAAATTACCTTACCCTTGGAATGTTCTCTTTAGGTTACATTCTTTTTTTTTTTTAAATTGAAAATAGATTTTTTTCATATAATACATTCTGGTTATGGTTTCTCCTCCCCATATGCTCCCTAGTTCCTCACCACCTCCCCTCTCATCTTGATTCACACTCTTCCTGTTTCTCCTTAGAAAACAATTAGGCATCTCTGGAATAATAATAAAATAAGATAAAAACAAATTGGAATAATACAAAAACCCAACTAAAAAGAGCCAGAGGAAAGCACAAGAAGCATAGATGCAGAGACTCACCCATGTGCACACACAGGGATCCCATAAAACAAAACTGGGAGCTGGAATATGTATGCAAAGGACTTGTAAGGTTCAAAAACTACTGTGACTTGACATTGAGCCGAAGAACTTCCAAGGATGCCATCGAGTTTGTTTTGTTTTGGCCATATACTGTTGGGCGTGGGGCTTACCTTAAACAGTGGTTTGTTTCCCCAGTGAGATTCCTTTGGAGAAAACTAATTTTTCATTTGCAAGTGGCAATCAGTTGGAGAAAGCTTCTGGGTTAGGGATAAGAGTGTGTGTCCATTTCTCCTTTCAGTTCTAGGACCTCATCTAATGCACACCCTGCAGAGTGCCGCCTTATGGGAAAAAAAACTGCCTTGTGCTTTATGGTACCATTGCCATATGATCCAGTGTTAAGTGATACCTTTTATGCTGTGTGATACGGATGCCCTGATAGACTGATCCAATGTCTGTATTGTTGATGTTTCTGAGTCTAAACATCATGGACACAAATGTACAAGTACTCAGAAATGTGGTTAGAGACAAAATTTAGGGGTGTAGGTAGGTGTGGGATATATGTGTCATGGCTAGGTCCTTTTGCCCTATCTTCTTTAATAAGAGCACATGAAGTATGAGCATCATACTTCAAATGAACAAAAAAACATTTTCTCTGGTTTCAGTGTGAAGAACTTGGCAAACATGTTGTTTTTATGTTAACATAAATGAGTTTTCAGATTCTTGGTTTTTTGAGACAAGGTTTCTCTGTGTAACTCAGAAATGCTGGAATTAAAGGTATGCACCACCACCACCAGACTTCAGATTCTTTTTGAAGAGCAGAGGTAATAGTGATGGATAGAAGACCCAGACTTGAGGAAACTGTCAAACTGAAGGAGTTGTTTGTGCTAGGAGAGTACTCTGCCGCTGCTCTATATCCCCACCCTGGGCAGTGTACTTGATTGTAAAAATTCATATAGTGATTGTGCTTGCAGTGACCATGGAATAGCAGTATGTTTACTAAAGGCATGTGTGTGTTTTGCTGGAAGTGTCTAAGCAGTTCAGAAAGGAGTATATATGAGAGGTGGTTTGAATAAGAATGGTCCCTATAGGCTCGTGTATTTGAATGTTCAGTCCCCAGGGAGTGGCACTATTTGAAAAGTGTAGGAGGTGTGGCCTTATTTGAGGAAATGTGTCACTGGGAGTTTCAGAAACCCATGCGAGGCCCAGGATCAGGCTGTAGCGCTCAGCTCCTGCTCCAGTGCTCCAGAGTTAGCATGAAATGGTCTCTCCCCAGCAACAGAGCAGAGACCAAGATAGTGTGTTCCAGGCTTATGTTGTATGTTATGACATTTTTGCCACTTTCGACAGTGTTGAAACTGATGAGGAAGTCAAAACATTCGTGCTTTAGTTAGCTTCTATACATGTCTGGAACAAATAAACCTGTGTGATAGACGTCACTTCCCACCTTCAGTTTGATGTGTATTCTTTTAGAGTATAGAAGAGCTCTAGTAATTTTTGTGTGTTCAATTTCAGGTAAAGACTAATTAAATTTATTGGCAGTGGATTTGGTGTAATTAAGCACCCCATAAAAGTACACTATCAAGATTTCCTATTCTAGGTGACATTTTCCCAATTAAAATTCAATTTGTTTCAAGGAAATGCTTGTAAGCATGTTATAAGAACTGGGAGAAAATGATTAGAAATAGAAACAGTAAGAGTCCTGTACTTGTTAGATCTTCCCTTTATAATTTTATTACAGGAATGGGAAGCCTTAGAGAAAATCACATAATTTTTAGGTAGGTTTTATTTTTAAGTTACTTTTGCTATGTTCCCTTTCCCTGTTTGCTTTTTATAAAAGGTTCCAGTGGAGTATTTATGGGGATAGGTCTTATGGTTTTGGGACCCTGGATCACCAGATTAGAAATTAGAATTTAGCTCTATTTATGGCAAAAACTTGTGAACTGAATTCTATTCTCTGGTTCCCTTAAGCACATCACTGTGAAATATGATCTGTTGATCATAACAGCCGTTAGCTGTAGAGCAACTCATTGATTGGTGCTCTGAGACTCTGAGATAGGGTGCACTTGAGGGATGGTTTGGTGAACAGTAATAGACCTCCACTTACGCTAATTATAGATCTACTCTACAAAGATGTAGGCTGCTATGAGTGTTAAAACAACTTGAAATTTTAGGGTGTAAGTTAACGGTTATTTGACAGTTGTTTTTCTATTGTTCGGCTCCCATCTTTTGTATAGTAAGGAAGAAAGGTTTCTAGGTAATTTTAGCTCTGCTGTGCTGAACCTGAGAGATCTAGTATCTTGTTACAGCAGCCTTTTGAGTTTTTCCAAAGAGACTGTTTGTGTAACCTGAATGCTGATGAAGAAACAAAGAAATAGAAATTATGAAAAGCAGAAGGAAAAAACTAAGCCTTAGTAGTAAATCTACTTACCAAGGTAAAAGGTGAAAGTTGGGTATTTAGATAGTTAATTACAGTGTATCATGGAGAGCTAGCATCCACTAAAGGTTTTCATCTTCAGATATTTACAGAGATTTGGTCGATTACTCTGAGCCAGGAAAATAATTTTACTACCTAGAATTACTGTTCTTCTTTTACCAGCTCTTCTTAGGACACATTTAATTTTAAGATACAGTTTTTTTTTAAGATAGAGTATATCAAAAAGACTGAATTTGTATGTATCTCAATACCAGCTTAAGAATAACTAATTTAAAATTTTTAATGTGGCTTATAATGAAAGGATATTTTAAAAGATTTTTGTGTAATAACATGGCTTGAATTTTATGATAGATTTTACTGTGAGGAAATATTTTAATTAAGATGTTGGGGAAATCTGATGTTCTATAATTTATCTCTACTTATAGTATAATACAACACATAATATTAGTGTTTTTATATAAAAATTATAACTGTTTTTTTTCTTGGCATTCTCTGCATTAGTAGTCAAAGTCAAATATAAAAAATTAGAATTATCTTCATTTGTTAAAATGTATGCTTTTTTATAACTTTTTTACCAGCTGATACAATTTGTACATATAATCAGAAAGCTTTAGCCAAAGGTTTGCTATTATTCAATATTTTTTTCTTTTGAGAAACATCCTTTGTTAAGACAGACCGGACTTCTGAAATGAATTTGCTTTTAGAAAAGAAAATTAGCAAAGACCCAGGTTAACATCAAATGCTTTTGTCTTAAGGTCTGGATAGATCAGATTAGTAGAAAATGTAATGAATTTTCCATTAAGATACAGATGGTAAGGATGCTTACTTATCAAATAGCACAGGGCAGTCGTCATTTTCATGATAAAATCCTACCAAATAATGGGTTAATACATTCCTCTTACATTTTCTGAAGGCTTAATGCTTTCTGTTTGATTATTTTCATGGTCAAATATTTTCCTACTGCTTTATAAGGATATGGACTACTGAATAAAAAGGATCAAATAAGCCTACCTCTTGTCTGGAAGGATGCTGTGGAAGCGATGGTATCGTCTGTTTGTAATGCAGTCTGGTGCACAGCCAAGATGGAGCTGTGCTTCTATTGGTTGGACGCATAAAGCAGCTGACAGTTTCCTTCATGCTCATTTGCATTAAGACCTGCCATCCCGAGGAACAGGTCATTCATAAACTGAATAGAGCTGTCTGGGGTATCAGCTGCCACCTCCTTTTTAAAATTTCTTTTGTCTTTACGCTGATTTTTCACATAGAAACAGATTGGTTTTTTTTTTTTTTCTATAAAATTTCACATCCCTCTGTTAGTAGTTCAGTGTCAGAGCAAGAATATGGTCTCCAGAGGCAGTTACCTAGGAAACGGCAGCCCAGGTTAAGCATGTTGGTAAAATGTTAACAGGAAATGTATGTAAAATCTCATAAATAAGCTTAAAATTAACATTTTTTTCTCAGTATATTCTCAAGTCTTGACTTCTAGAATTATGGGCACATGGCACTTGTGTTTGGGAGAAATTCTGAGGACACAGAAATAATGTTTTAGTTCTTTAAGTAATAGTAGAGTTAGTTTAGGTGGGCAGGCTTTTTTTCTAAATATTAAGATATAGACAACTTCTATGTTTTAGTTGGGTCTAGTGCAACTGTCCGTTCCTTGTTATTTTTAGTTATGGTGGTAGGAGTCTGGCCTAATCAAAGCAGAATTGAGATTTATTTTTAATTAAAGGAGTGATATTTTTTAATATTTAAAAATTTAAAAATATTTATTTTTTTAGGTTTCCTTTTTTTATATTTATTTATTTATTATGTATACAATATTCTGTCTGTGTGTATGTCTGCAGGCCAGAAGAGGGCACCAGACCCCATTACAGATGGCTGTGAACCACCATGTGGTTGCTGGGAATTGAACTCAGGACCTTTGGAAGAGCAGGCAATGCTCTTAACCACTGAGCCATCTCTCCAGCCCCCCAAAATATTTATTTTTTTATGCATACTGGTGTTTTGCTGTGAGGTTGTAGAATCCCCTAGAATTGGAGTTACAGATAGTTGTGAGCTGCCATGTTGATGCTGGGAATTAAACTCAGGTCCTTTGGAAGAAAAGCCAGTGCTCTTATCCTCTGAGCCATCTCTTCAGCCCAAGGAATAGCTCTTAAAAGAGGGAGGCATGGTGGTACACACTTTTAATCCCAGCACTTGAGAAGCAGAGGCTGGCCCGGTCTGTATAGTGAGTTCTAAACTGCATAATGAGACTCTGTCTCTAAACAAGCAGCAACAATAAATCTGCAAAAAAATCAATCAAACAACAAACAAACAAGCCAAAAAAAAAAAAAAAGCCAACAGTGGGAGACTGGGTAAATCCTTGCTACATAGACTAAAAAATATTTAGATAAATCTTTACATTAGTTTCTGGCACTATATAGGAGTACATGGAAATACCCTTATTACATTGCTTTAATCATTCAATAGATATTTGAATGTTGACTTCATTTGGCTTTGACTTAGTACTAGGGACATTGTTGTAAGCAGACTATGTGGTTCATACTTGATTGTTTGGAGTTTGTTCTTAATATACTGTGATTTCTCTTTTCAGTTTTACATATATACACATAGATACATACATGCACAGTATTTTTTTTTTTTTTGGTTTTTTTTCGAGACAGGGTTTCTCTGTACCTTTGGTGCCTGTCCTGGAACTAGCTCTTGTAGACCAGGCTGGCCTCGAACTCACAAAGATCCGCCCGCCTCTGCCTCCCGAGTGCTGGGATTAAAGGCGTGCGCCACCACCGCCTGGCATACATGCACAGTATTATAGGATAAATTTAATACTGATTAAAATTCTGGTTTTGATGGTACAGCCCTATCATCCCAGCTACTCAGCAGTCTGGGAGGTAGCATCACACATTTAAGGCCAGTCTACGTAACTTAGGGAAAGTGAGTGGGCTACAGTTAAGTTCAGTGGTAGACCATGTCTAGCATTCGTGAGGTCCTAGGTTCATATGTGTTTATGGGTGTCTATGTTCTGACAAAATGGCCCATGTTAGATGGAATAATAATGTGAGTAATAATAAAGTGTAGTGGGTAGAGCTTCTTTTATAGGGCAATATTACAGGGTTTACAGCTTGATTTAAATCTTTGCCTTGTTAAAACCCTCAAATTTTTATGTTTAAAAGAGGACAGTTAGACTGGGGAGATGGCTTAGTTGTGAGGCACTGATTGTGCAAGCAGGAGACTGACTTGAGATTCCCAGCACCCACGTCAGAGAGCCTGGCACAGGAGTTTGCTGCTGGAACCTCAGTGCTGGACAGACTGGTACGGAAAGATTACTGGGCTTGTGGCCACTTGGTGAGTTTCAGGTTCAAGGAGACTGTTTGAAAAATAGGATGGAGGGGCAGGAGATATGGCTCCGCTGTTAGGAATACTAGCTGCTGTTCCAAAGAACCTCGGCTTGATTTCTAGGAGCCACACGGAAGCCCACAGCTGTCTGCAACCCCAGTTCCAGGGCATCTGACTCCCTGTTTTGTCCTCTGTGGGTACCAGGGCATTCATGGGGTACACAGACATACATATAGGCAAAACACCCATATGTGTAAGATAGAATTTAAAAAACGGGGAAACAGTTGAGGAAGACACCAAACTTTGTCCTACATGTGCACATGCAACCTCTCCCTCCACACACTAAATAAAAGAGGACAGTAGAATCTTAATAAACTTTAATAAAATCTTAAACAGGATTTTTTAATAAGGACTAAATGTGGAGATCATGTAATGTGATGCTCAGTTCAATAAATGTTAGTGACTATTATTAAGTAGTGTTTTGCACATCTTGGGGAAAAATAACCATAAGGTTAGTATTTCATAATTGAAACAAATGTGCTATTATTGTTGAGACTGGGTCTTCTGTAACTCAGAATCATCCTGGACTTGCTACGTAGCAGAACATGACCTTAAAATTAAAAAAATATATAAGTATTTTATATTATTTGTGTGTGTCTGTGCTTGGGTGCCCTTGGAGTCCAGAAGAGGGTATTAGATTCCCGGGAGCTAGAGTTACAGGTAATTGTGAACTGCCAGATGTAGTTGTTGAGAACTGAACATGACCTCTGGAAGAAAAGAGTTTTTAATTTTAATGAAATATAAATAAAATATAAAATATACATATTAATATAAACATTAGATATAAAATAATTATGACATTTCCCTTCTCCCATTTCCTCCTCTGACCCCTCCCATGTGCCTCATCTTTTGTGATCCTCAGCCTACCAATTTTTAAGATTAGAGATTATGCCACCACCCCTGACCTTTGGAATAATTTATGTAAAGACTATCAGTATGTCATTTTTGTTATTATTGTTAGTTTTGGAAGCATAGTATACTTTAATGTACCAATTGAGTTACTGTTCAAAATTATAAATTATTTCTAAGGGAAAATTCCAAAGAACATTGCATTTTATTGATTGATTGATTTTTATTGAGCTATGTATTTTTCTCTGCTCCCCTCCCTTTCTCCTCCTTCCCTTTCTACTCGCTCCCATGATCCTCAGGACATTGCATTTCAATGTCATAGGAAAGAAAACATTCAATAAAGACTTTTCACTAACTAATTTCAAAGGAGTATTATGTTGCATCTGAAATTGTTGTTTTGGAACTCTGACAGTTGTTTTATTTGACTTGTGGTTGTGCTAATGCAGTCTTCTATTTAAATGGTTATTACCAAGCTGATGCCAGAGATGGCTTTCCCTTTTTTATTTAGCCATTCTCTTTGTGTATCAACTGTGTGGGAAGTTGATATCTGACCTGATGTCTTGCTAATAGAATGTATGCTACGGAGATGCTTTTCTTGTATTTATAGTGAATTTTGTAATCTTTTTTTTTGTCTGTGGCTCAAATGCATTTTTTTTGAGGTTGAATACTTATTCAGGGAGTTATGGAGGGGGAAGGGAGAAGGGGGGCAGAGAGGGGGGGAGGAGAAAGAGACAGAGAAGGGGGGAAGCAGAGAAGTGGGGAGAGAGGCAGAAATGAAGCTGTCTCTCCAAGAGGAAGACAGAAAAGAATCTCAAATACATTTGTGATACATTGACAACATTATCTGTAGTGATTCGGTAAAATGATAGATGTTTTGGAACAATAAAGACTTCTGAGAGGAAGGGGGAAGAAGGGGGATAGAGGACATCATAGAGGCAGTAGATGTCTGTCCTTCCTTTACTCATATCTGTGTTTATAGTGCTCTCTTGTCTAATTATTGGAGGATTCTGATCAAGTTGAAGGTAGGAGTAGAATGAAATAAAGGTACTTGTAAAAGAATTGTGTTTTGAGCTGAGTATGGTGGCACAGGCCTTTAATTCCAGCCGAGGAGGCTGAGGCAGGTGGATCTCCAAGTTGGAGGTTAGTGTGGTTTTGTATTAAGACTATAAATCGGGGGCTAGAGAGATGGCTCAGAGGTTAAGAGCATTACCTGCTCTTCCAAAGGTCTTGAGTTCAATTCCCAGCAACCACATGATGGCTCACAACCATCTGTAATGAGGTCTGGTGCCCTCTTCTGGCTTGCAGGCATACACACAGACAGATATAATATTGTATACATAATAAATAAAGAAATATTTAAAAAAAAAGACTATAAATCAAGCAGCAACATACTTGTATTTTGGGATATAACTCTGCGTTAGAGTGCTTGCCTAAACCACACAGGCCTTGAATTTGATCTCCAGCACTCTCCTTCCCCAAACTATATTTTAATGCTTTTAAATTATATTTAGCCTAAGATATGTCATAATCTTATAATCCCAACATTTTGGAGGCTGAGGTGGAGGATGGTGAGTTGAGACAAACGTATACTACAGTGAGACCCTCTCTTTAAAGAAGGGTTGGTGGGTGGTGTGCTTGACAATTCAATAAATATCCTTGGATTTTGTGAGTTTTGCCAAAATATTACTGGGTACACTTCATTAGATGAAAAAAGTCAAAGGAAAGTATTTTACCAAGTTAAAATCATTTTTATTCCTAAGTCATAATAGCACATTATATGAAAATGTTATAATTCTTTTGAACTTCATTTCCAGATCATAACAATGGATCATTTAACTTGAAAGCACTATCTGGAAGCTCTGGATATAAGTTTGGTGTTCTTGCTAAGATTGTGAATTACATGAAAGTAAGTACTCACATACCAAAAGTCCACTTTTTTTGTGTGTGTGTGACAAAAAGGAGTTAAGAGATCTGGGTTTTCAGAAGTTAGATATTTGTATAAATATGTTAAGATTTATCTAATTACTCATTTTAGTATGTGTAGCTTATTATGTGTTGATTATATTTCAAGAAACCCCTAAAATATTTAATGTTTCCAGCCTTTTGCCCTCTGTTAAACTGGCATTACAGTGGGCACTCAATTATGTTTAATTTAATTTACATTATAGTCAAGTGTACAACTTGACTTAAGCTCACCATTTGACTCAACAAGAGGCCTGCCAATCAATAGACATATTTCCTGGGAAAGCCAATGGTGGGTAGTTTTTCAAGATAGTTCCTTCATTCATCTGAGAAATACAAATTGCACAGATCCAGCAGATGATGGTGAATTTCTCTGCTTGGAGGTTAAGAGAATCACCGAGGATCTTAGGAAACGTTGACTCAGAAGCATTAGAAGCTGGTGTGTGGCTGTGTCTGAACTGTGTAGTTTGTATTTGATTTCGAGTACAAACACCCTAGTTTACATTTCTCAGTACCAGAAGATTGTAAATTCTGACTGAGGGTTCATTCCATTCACTTCCTGCCCTGTGTGTTAAACATTTATTAACATCTACTACTGATGGTGGGATAACCAGAAAGAGCGGCCTCTTGGAGCTGTCAGTCAGAGGAAGCTGACAGTGTTTTAAAGTCTAGCTCTTAATTTTATTTTCCTTAATAATATGCAAATGTACAAGAAGGCTTCTGATTTGAGCTGCTTTGCAATTACTGATAAAGAGTTGATTGAGATAAGTTGATTCAGTTTGCTTTAATTCTCTTTTCTTTTGGTAGTTACTGTATCTGGAGATTCTTGTTAGTTATTGGTAGGATAAAGTAGAATTTGGCACCACTTCTGCAGCTGTTTTTAGATTTTGTAGATTTAAGTGCAGAGAAATAAGTGTTCATAAAGCTATGTTAGTTCTAATGAACATTTTGTGATAAGTACAGTTTCCAAGTTACATGCCAAAAAACAACAACAACAACAACAAAAACTTGGAGCTTCATCCTTCAGGCAGCTGTTGTTTGACACACAGTTTTGTTCAAAACAAAACAATGGAAAATACCTAACTTGTCAACGGATTTGGTGTCTGGTCATTCACCAGTTACTTTCTCAGCCTTTAGAAGATGAGTCCAAAGGGCAGGAGCTAGAGCTATGTAGCGCAGTGATAGCGTGCAGACAGCATGCGTGTATGTGTAAGGCTGTGGATTCTGTACCTAACGCTGCAAGATTGGGGTATCAGAAGTTTCAAGGCCAGTGTTTGTGCGGTCAGAGAACAATTCTGAGAAGCTGATTTTTCCTTCTACGTTGTGGGTTCTGGGGATCAAACTCAGGTCATTGGGTTTGACATCAGGCACCTTTACTTACTAAGCCATCTTGTTGCCTCCTCCTCCTCCTCTTCCTCCTCCTCCTCCTCTTCTTCTTCTTCTTCCTCCTCCTCCTCCTCCTCCTCCTTCTCCCTCCTCCCTCCTTTCTTCTTCTTTCTTCTTCTTCTTCTCCCCCCCCCCTTTTTTAAGACATGACCTTATAATATTGCTCTGGGTGTCTTGGAACTCAGATCTGCCTGCATCTGAATTAGAACAACTTGCTAGTCTTGGAAAATATTTTTTACCTAAAGGAAATAGCTCCCCAGTTGATACTGCTTTAGCTCTTTAAATATGCATCTTTAAGCTTTTTTGTGTTTCCCTAAGCTAATAGTTAAGGAATGAACTTGGGAATCCTGAAGAGAATTACTTAGATTTAAACTTTTGGGGGAAAAAAATCTTTTTTATCACACTTTCCTGAGGACAGTGTGCTCGTGGATAATACTGAATGGAGTTGAGGTGTGTTAGGATGGGAAGAGGAGAGATTGTTTAAAGGGAAACTGATCAGTTTTACAAATTATATCAGAATTTGGAATGTGGGGCCAACATATTCTTGTGTCTGTGTGTCAGGTATGGGAGGACAATTTGGGGATCAAACTTGGGGCTTTGGTGTTCTACACAATTACCTACTATTAGTGAGCTACATTTTAGGCTGGCCTCAGATGCACTGTTTTGAGTATGACTTTTGATTCTCCTGTCCCCACCTCCCAGTGCTAGGATTATTTGTGTAGTGGCATGCTGTGTGTGTGCTAAGCAAGCACTCTGCTCCCAGAGCTATATCCCAACTTCATTATGAGATTTCTTTAATGATTTTTTTTTATTATTTTACCTTTGTTGTCTGGTGTATGTATTTTGTAGTGACAAGTGTCTTAATGTCAAAAGGTAGGACATGTCTGAAATGAAGCAAGAAACATTGCAAGATGTGAGTGGAAGTTGGTTATATCTTAGTCCTTCTCTCTCTCAGCATCCTTTCCCTGAAGGCCTGTTTTGAAAGGGGAAAGTGTGCTTACCTAATAGAAGATGATTTGTAAGCTGGTGAGTGTAGTCAGCTGTCCCCTCCCTTCCCTGAAAAAAAAACTTCAGAAGCAAAATAGGTAAACATAGCATCAAAAATACTTGTAATTGCCTAGTTGTGGTGGCACACACCTATAGTCCCAGCACTTGGGAGGCAGAGACAGGAGGATCTCTGAGTTCCAGGCCTGCCTGGTCGACAAGAGCTAGTTCCAGGACTACACAAAGAAACCCTGTCTTCAGAAACCAAAGACAACAACAACAGAAATATTTGGAATGGACATCTTTAGTTGTTCACCAGAAATTGTGGAAAAGTTCAAGGAGATTTAAAAAATTGAGGTAGACATAGTGATTTTACAACAAGAAATGAAAACCGCTAAGCACATGCATGCACACATAAACACCATAAAAACAGACGTGAGAACTTTGAGATCATAACCCAAGAACATGAGGCATAGGGTTAGACTGTCAAGAATATGAGATCTGGATGTATTTATTATGTCATAACCTGGTATTTAAGATAAAAGCCGAGACAAGAGGGTTGGACTATTATTATTGGACCTGCTTATGAAAATAGAGAAATTTTGTGGCCCATTTCAGAAGAATCAAAAAGGTAGTAAATATGAAACAAATTTTTATTGTTTAAATAAGTCTTAAAAGTACTTGGGGCTTTTCTGAAGATTGCCTTGTGAAGGACGGCTTCTCCATGAGAGTCTGGGTGCCCTGAAGACCATTGCTGTTCTTCAGCTGCTGAATCTCTCTCTCCCAAACTAGTGAGCAGTACAAGGACTGCTCATATGCAGCTTTCTCTTTGATATTTTTCTGACTAAAAGACATGTCTGCGTGTCTGTCTGTCTGCCTGCCTGCCAGCCTGCTTGTCTGTGTCGTCTGTGCCTGTCCAGGTCTGGGGATTGAGCAGAAAGCACTTCCTGCACTGAGCTGTATCTCCACACTTTCTGCCTTTTATTATAAGGTCTCAATTAAGTTTTCCAGACTAGCCTTGAACCTGATTCTCCTGCTTTAGCCTACCAAGTACCCAAGATTATATTATACCAGCAAGCCTGGCTTAAATTTGTTTTTTTTTTTAATTCAAGATTTATTTATTATGTATGCAGTGTTCTGTCTGCATGTTTGCTTGCACACCAGGAGAGGGCATCAGATCTCATTCTAGATGAGTGCGAGCCATCATGTGCTTAGCCTTTTCTTTAGCCCCTTAAATTTGTCTTTTTAAGATACGTTTTTTAACCTAAATTTTATAGATACATGTCTAACTTGGCTGCACTATTGGAAGCTTGTGAAAATGTAGGTATAATTTGCATTTCATTGTGTCTCATCTCTGCATCTTTAGCATATAGTAGCCAGTACTAAAGACTTGGATGAATGAATGAAGAGCAAATGCTCAGGAAATGTTTTCTGTTTGTGATATGTTAGATTTTATGCCCCCACCCCCCATCCTAGTTTTGAAAAGTTGAGAATTCGAGTTTTACAGGGCTGGACTGAGAGGCTCAAAGAAGTTCTGTTGCCTACCTGAGGTAGAGCTTTGTAGTTATTTTTGTTTTGAATAATGAATATATCTCTCAATATAAAATGTAGAGTATAGAAAGGTTTATACACAGAGGTCATTCACATTCCTAATCCTACTGTCTTATCCCTAGTGGTACCCTGTCCACCTTTAAATCATGGACATGTTCCATGAGAAGCCACCTTTTAACACAGCTTCTTCACCTCCAGGTACACACTGTCATGAATGTGGTAGTTAATCTTAGAATCACAGTATCTTCTGAGAAGCCTGTTCAGGAGCCTCATCCACCACTGAATCTGAAGTACCCTCTGCTTACCTATGTCCCTGTATCTGCTCATTTAATAAGTGTAGGTGTTTTTTGACATCAAACCCCAGAATAGACAAGTCTTCAGGTATCAGCCTATCTCTGGTGAGCATTGGTGATGTCATTGTTTGTGTTCACCCTGACCTTTTTGCCACAGTGCAGGACACTAGAGGCAACCATTTTTGAAGTGTGAGCATATGTGTGACTGTGGTCTAGCGGTGAAAGGGCCATATAGAGAACTTCCTTGCTTAGCAGAAAACATCTGTGTGTAGCTTGTATTGTGCTGCAGTTTAATTAGCTCTTATTGATGGTCAGGCCGTTAAAGTGCATTTTGTCTTCTTCAAGGGTTGCAGCACTTTATGTTCTGTCAGTGAGAAGGCCTGTTTCCATGTTTACCAGTGGACACAGGACATTTGCACTTTGCTGATCTGATAGGTGAGAAGCATCCTGGTAGAAGTTGAGTCTCTTTTCATATTTAAGGACATTTGAATTTCTTTTTAATCTGTGTTTCCCTACAAGTTTTTTTCTTTTTAATTGACTCTTGCAATGACTAGAAGAACTTGTTGTTGCTGGTGTCCTCCCCCATCTCAACACATTTCATCTTGTTGTGTAGCCTCTATCAGTTCTGAATCCATTATGTAGATAAGGCTGAACTTGAACTCATCATGTAGCCTAGGATGGTCTTGAACTTGTGATTCTCCTGCCTCAGCCTTCTACATGCTGGTGTTAACAGGTGTGTATCCTCACTCTTGGTTTACGGTTAGTTTGTGATTTTTGTTTTCTGTCTCAGTTTATCATTTGATTTTTATCAATCTGGTTTTGTATGCTTTCATGTTCTTGATCCTGGTATATATACTTACTACCGCAGATAATACATGCTTACATTCCTGAAAAGATTGTTTATGAAAGGATTTATTTGTGACTTTGTCTTAATGCACTTAACATTTGAAAAAACTTCCCTCAATAGACACGGCATCAGCGAGGAGATACACATCCTTTAACTTTAGAAGAGATTTTGGATGAGACACAACACTTAGATATTGGACTAAAGCAGAAACAATGGCTAATGACTGAGGTAAGAACAGACTTTAAATAGTTAATTACAAAAAAGGATATGTGCTACTGCTATCTAGAGTTGGTTCTTTTTTTTGCGTGGTGGGGGTGGTACTGGAGAAGGGATCCTGGGCCAGAATGTGTCTGGACATTCCACTACTGATAGAGCACTCTGCCATTGCGTCATCTCCAACTGTAGACGTGTTTTATTGGGGTTTTGTTTTGTTTTTTGGAGAGGGGGACTGAGGGATATATATGTGTGTGTGAGAGAGAGAGTAGGAGGTAGAGGGGGAGGGGGAGAGAGGGACAGGAATCAGGGTCTAATTTTTGAAGTCCAAGCTGACTTCAAACTCAGGACATTTTTCCTGCTTTAGCTTCATGAGTTATCATATCTGGTTCAGAGAGGTTTTTTTTATAAATACTGTAATCTGATAATATTTTAATTTTTCTTAAAAGACTTGATGTAGAGCCTTTAATTTAAACATACACATTTCTGTAATTTGTTTAGCTATTTTGATAGTTTTTATAATTTTATTTGTTTTAAAATGTTTTTGTATTTTTTTTTTTTAAGACAGGTTCTCTCTGTGTAATAGTACACACTGGAACTCACTTGTAGACTAGTCCTTGAACTCACAGAGATCTACCTGCCTCTGCCTCCCAAGTGCTGGGATTAAAGGCATGCATCACCACCGCCTGGCTTTAGAATGTCTTTTAGGACTACATTAAAGTTGTGAAGTCAATGTACCAAATTTGTTTTTATAAATAGTATTTTGAATTGTTAAACTCAAAACTTTATATACTCATAAATTATATATTGTATACATGCTTTAGAAAATTTAAAAGCCTATAATGTTAGGGACAACAAAACATTTTATTGCATTATTATCACTGTACAGTTTGATAAGTGAGTTATCTCTAGTTTCTTAGAAAAATGATCACAAATGTTATGCTTAAATACGCACCATGTAAAGAAAGCTTGAAACAGTCACCAACTGTTTGCAAATGAATGGCATCTCATCTGTTTGGGTATTTGCTTCTTTATATGGATGCTGAAGAATACTACTTTTCAGAACCCGTGATGAGGACCAGATATGAGCCGGGATGTAGTGGCACACACCTGTAGTCTGAGCACTTGAGAGGTAAAGGCAGGAGGATCGAAGGTTGAAGAACATCATTAGCCCCCACAGTGAGGTCAGAGCTGGTCTAGGCTACAGTTAAAACAAACAAACAAACTCCCACAGAATACCCCCTAAATCAGTAGATGTAGTAATCTCATTGATTTGTTTGAGGCAGAGTTGCATTTGAAGTGGTCCTCCTGCCTTTGCCTCCAAATACTGGAATTAAAGATAGGTGGCACCATGACTGGCCTAATTTAGTTCATTTATCTTACAGAGCAAGGTGTAGTTCTTGATTTTTGTTCTATAAAATGATTGGAGCTTCAGCCTGAATCATTGAAGGTCATGGTCATCTATCAGTTACTTGGCCGTTGCTAGAGCAGAACCTGCATAAGATCATTGGGTTTTTGTCTTTTTTGTTTGTTTGTTTTATTGAGACTGGGTATCACTGTGTTGCCCTGACTATCTTGGAACTCAACTGTGTAGACCAGACTGGCCTCAAACTCACAGAGATCCATCTGTCTCTGTCTCCTGAGTACTGGAATCAAAGGTGTGTGTGACCACTCTGGTTTAAATCTTACTCTGTAGTACAGGCTGGTCTCACATTTGGCAGTAGTCTCCTGCCTCAGGTATAGGTCACCACAGCCAGTTTATACCTAATATTTTTAACTTAAAAATGTTTAAACACAGATATTGCAGATAATTGTAATAAATCTTAGTGATACACAGATAATAATAATAATTCACATTTAAATATGCTAGTTTATGTAATATTCAAATTTTATATATTTAGCAACATTAAAGTTTTTGATTTTTAAAAATTTTATCTATCATTATTATTAGTGTAGGTTGGGTAGAGTTTGTTATCTACTTCCCACCTTTACCAGGGATTGAACTTGGGTCATGAAGCTTTTGTGGCCAGTGCCTTTAACCTCTGAACCATGTTGCCAGCCCAAAGCCTATTTCTATTCTTCGTATTCTGACCTCTTTACATTAGAGGTAAAGCTCCCATGTGCCTTGGCACTAAAGAAAGAAGTAAGTGTGTGAGACAAGCACTGAGAGCTGCATGTGTAGTTTTCCTCTGTTTGCTTGAGACAGACAGTTCTCACGTAGTGCACAGGCTGGCCTGAGCTTCCTCTGTAACCTAGGTAGTCTGAGTCTGTAACCTTCCTGCCTCAGCTTCTCAGGTAGCTGGGGTTGCAGGCCTACCACATGTTAGTCTTGAGGGCTTTCCTTCTGTTAGTAGCTGTACAACAAAATTTGAGTTCATTTTCTGTTCTCTTGACGTTACAGGTAAATTCCCATGTGCTTTAGGTTGGTCCTCTGAGTTCTTTCCTCAGCCACACTAGCCAGATGATTCCAGGAGAGGAGGGTTGACTTTTGATTGATCCCCCAGTGATGTTCTCCCATTATAATGCCAGTATATCATAGAGGAGGGATGGCATACCAAGTGTCTATTAATAGCCATCTTATTGATTCTTACTCAGTTTGTCTTCTAAAAGAATAAAGGTTCTTCAGAGCAGTTGTGATAAAGTGGGTTTCTCTCTTTTAAAAAGGTATGCAAATAATGTTCAGTGTAGTGGGAGTTTTCTTTGGGCTGCCAGCTCACGAATAACGACACATGAGCTTGACCTTAGCTTAGGTTGCCCCACTAGCTTATAAGTTAAATTACCCTGCTTTTATTAGTCTACCTTTTACCATGTGGCTTTTTATCTTTCTTCTATTCTGTACATCAGACTCCCGTGTCTGGTTGGCGCTCGCAGATTCCTCCTCCTCCTCTTCCTCTCTCCCAGGAATCCACCCATCCTTCTGCCTAGCTATTGGCCGTCTAGCTTTTTGTTCACACCAATCATAGCAGTGTGTCTTCACACAGTGTCCAAATATCCCACAATATGCTGAGCACCTGTTATGGGATCCTATATGTCTGCTATTTTATGTCTACTAGTTTATGTTCCAAAGATACTTCAGTTTGCCCCTGTGTAGGGTAATGTTAGAATTTAAGAACATACACATGAGGTTTCCTTTAGTAAATATAACCTGAGCGTGGTGTTATTACAGGCTTTAGTCAACAATCCCAAAATTGAAGTAATAGATGGGAAATATGCTTTCAAGCCAAAGTACAACCTGAAAGATAAGAAGGCTCTCCTCAGGCTTCTGGATAACCATGACCAGCGGGGGTTAGGAGGGATCCTGTTAGAAGACATAGAAGAAGGGCTGCCTAATTCCCAGAAAGCTGTAAAGGTAATCTTTCTCTTTTTACTCCTATATCGTTACTACAATTTGAATTAATAATGTTGTCTTTTTTCTTTTTTCTTTTTTTTTTTTGAGACATGTTCTCACTATGTAGTCCTGGTTGTCCTGGAACTCACAGAAATATGTCTGCCTCCACATCCTGAATGCTGGGACTAAAATGTGCCACCATGCCTGGTTTCTTATGTTTTTATATGTGTCTGTATCTGCCCACGTATGTGTGGGTGCTCAAGGAGAGGAGAGGGTGTTGGATACCATGGAGCTGAAGCTGCTACAGGCAGTGTGAGCTGCCTGATGTTGGTGCTGGAAAATGAACTTGAATCCTTTGGAAGAGCAGCAAGGGCTCCCTTACCCACTGAGTCATCTCCAGTTCCCTCTTTGAAGTTTTAAACATTTAAAAAACAAAATTGAGTTATTTTTAAATAATCTTTATCCTGTATATACGTGAAGGAGTTTATAGTAAAGTTATGGTCGTGAAGATTGTTACGTTTTCCCATTAATTTTGAGAGCCTTTTGCAAAAACTGCTTGTTGCCATTGTATGTTAGGCACAGTCAATGCTGTATCACACACCCCTTTGTGTTCTTTGACAGAGGTCTTAAGAAGTCTGAAAGTATCCTTAAAGATAGAATTGCTGAAAAAAGAAATTCAGCTGAAACATGGGGGGCTTGTAGACTCTGGTGATTACTGTAGGCTAAAGAAGAGAAGCTTTGTTCTCTCTCTCCCTCGTGTGTTAGCATGTGTATCATATATAGAGAATATATTTTTAAATGAATAATATGATGGTAATTTTTTTCTTTAAGGCTTTAGGGGACCAGATACTGTTCGTAAATCGTCCTGATAAGAAGAAAATACTTTTCTTCAATGATAAAAGCTGTCAGTTTTCTGTGGATGAAGGTAAGCCATTTTGTGCAGATACTTCTAAGTATATCGAAATTTTTGTTTTGTTTGTTTGTTAGTTTTTCAAGACAAGATTTCTTTGTGGATGTTCTGGACCTTGATCTGTATGCCAGGCTGGCCTTGAACTCACAGAGATCCACCTGCCTCTCCCAAGTGCTGGGATTAAAGATATGTGCTACCACTACCTCTTGACAGAGGCTGCTTGTTCGTTTCCAGCTGCCTAGACCCGAAATAATGACACAGAAACTACATTAATTGCAGTATTGTTTGGCATATTTTTAGTTAGCTCTTACATCTTAAATTAACTTATCTCTGTTAATCTGTGCATCACCGAGGTTGAGGCCTACCAGCAAGGTTCCAGATAACATCTGGTGTCTTTCTCCTCTGGCAGCTACATAGCATCTCCCTGACTCCGCCTACTCTCTCTACATATCTGTTCGGATTTCCCGTCTGGCTTTATTCTACTAAGCCATTGACTGAAAGCAGCTTCTTTATTAACCAAATGGTATTCACAATATACAAAGGGGAATTACACATCAACCACCTGGCTCAGTATATCACAGTTTTAAGGTGATAAAGCTTGCAATACTTAGTTGTAATTTAATGTTCTGTTAGTGGTTTTTAGCATCTCTTAGACTCATATCTATTATGTCACATCTTATGCTGACTTGAAAGGTTTTAAGTCATTTGTATATGAAATTACAATGTAACAGCTTGTGATTTACAGTTAAATTTTAAAAATTTTTTTATTTTTAATGTTTTTGCTGGCATGTATGGTTTTTCATCACTTTTATGTCTTATGCCCACAAAGCCCAGAAGATGGTATTTACTGGAAAAACCTGTTTCTAGTTGGTGGCTCAGCCCTAGCACACACACATATAATCCAATTCTCGTGTGTGTGTGTGTGTGCGTGCGTGCATGCGTGTGTGTGTGTGTGAGAAGCTTTTTTCTTTTTCTTTCTTTTTACACATTATTTGCAGTGTAGTGGCGTTTGTGAGCCACGGCAAATGTGGAGGCCCGAGAACCACATGCAGGAGTCAGTTCTTTCCTTCTACCATGTGGGTCCTGAAAATCGAACTCAGATCATCAGGCTTGCTTTGTTGGTAAGCTGAGCCACCTCAGGTCTCTTCCAGCCCTCGAAGCTTACATTCTGAGAGAAGACTGTATAGTTTTTAAAATACAAGGAAGGACATAAACAGCTCTTATTAGGCTTGTTTGGGGGAGGTGAGGTGTTCAGAGATGATGCACCTGTGTGAGAAAAGATGAGGTCAAGCTGACACCTGAGCCAGATGGAGCAGTCTTGTCCATGTAGCCTCTGTGCAGAGAAACGCTAGTCTAATGATAATGGTGTCTCTAATCAGAGTCAGTGAACTCTTTATGATAGCTATTTTGTGATGCTCTTACTGTTAGGAAATTTACGCATGACATTATTTGAGCTTCTTTTTAAAACATAATCTATCTATATGGGTGTTTGGTCTGTATCACATGAATTTGTGGTACCCATGGAGGCCAGAAGGCGGCTTTGGGTGGCCTGGAAGTAGAGTCTCAGATAATGAGCCATCATGTGGGTGCCAGAATTGAGCAATCAGTGCTCCTAACTACTGAGCCATTTCTCTAGCCCCAGCATAAATGTATAATTTCTTACCAAGTCAATAGAATACCTACCCTAAATGTAAATTATTATATTTAAATTTTTTCCTTGAATTATTTATAAATAGTCAGGCATAGTTATGCCATAAATGTACTGTAAATGAAATAGCTGTTTATACCTTTAAATGTGGAGTCACCATGAATATGATAATTATAAGTAACCAGTAGATGTTTGTTGCATGGGCAGGCATATGTGCTGTAACTTGTGATTTCCTTAAGTGGTTCAGAATTCTTTGTGAGGTACTAGAAAGTGAAAAGTGCCTTTTCTGTGGTTTACAGAGGTCAGCCGTTCTATACACAATATACAATGTAGAGAATGAAATATTAAAGCAACACAAAATACTTGTGGACAGTATTGGATTATAAATACAGTTTAATATAAACTGGTATTTTTGAGTCAGTAACACCTTTGACTGACTGGCAAAAGATACTGGCAGCAGAATTTTCAATTTTGGCAGTATTGACATTAGGTACTGAAATTTTTGTTGGTTGCTGTACAATATAGAGCATTTATCAGCATTTCTGGCTGTGTAGCTGTCAGAGACACAGCTTCCCTGTGGTGTGAAGCCATAGCTGCCTTCGTACATTACCAGATGTCCTTTGAGAGACAGACTTACTCTGGTTGAAGACAAGGTTAAAGGTTCGGTTCATGTTTATAAAAGAAAGAAAAGTAGATTGAGAGGTGTTCATTACCTTTAGGTCCCTTTTCCATGGGTTCAGTCGTTTAGCACAGTGCTGTTAGCATAGAGAGAATAAGGTCTTTGCCGTTGAGCCTACACAGAGTGACATGACAATACATGATACCATTTTACTAAGTTGTGCTGTTCAGTAGATAAGGCATATTTGATTTATGTGTTGAACTTACAGTGTAATCCCACTCTAAGTCAGATGTCTGTAGGTGTAGCATGGTGCAGTACAGTTTAGTCACACAATGCTCTGGAGACATTATAGGGACGGTCATGGACAAGAGCCCTAAGGATAACAGACCGGTTTTCATTAAGGTCATTGTGAATCACTGATGTAAAATTAATTTGGAAAACAAGTTTTTGTTGATAATGTAAATATGTATTTTCATGTAAAACCAATTGAAAATCTGTAGATTTTGGATCTGGGGTATAGTAATAGTGTTTGCTAGCATATATAAGGCTCTGAGTTCAAAGCCTGGCTTTGTACCCCCTTCTCATTCATGGCACATTTTGATACTGTCTTTGATATGGTTGCATCAATGGTGATGTTTGCTTTAGCCCACTAGATGTCAGCCTCCGATATAGAGCAGAAATGCTCTTGAATGAAAAGTTTCAAGCAAGCTAAAGATCACCCTTTATTTTGCTTAATAAAAGCACATGTCCTATAGTTTGTTCTTTAGTAATTGTCTTAATCAGAAAAGTAAACAGCATTTGGACCAAAGCATGTATTTTATTTCCTAAAGGCATTTATTTCCTTAAACCAGGCTTTTACTCATTTAGATGTAATATGGGTGTCAGTGGTCAAGAGAACCGTCCAAGGAATCAAACAGTAGCTTAGGGAAGCTCTCCTCTCTGTAAGCTGTGACTGTATGAAGATTAATGTGTTAAGGGAACCTGGCACCCAGGTAGCACATAGGGATTGCTAGCTGCTAGTAGTCATATTGAAAATTAGAATGTCTAAGATACAGGTTGTTTTAGTCATTTCTATCTGTCCACTTGTTATCTTGACTCAATGTTTTTAGTTTTGTGTTTGGTTAGTCAGGAAAGTAATAGATCAATTTTAGTAGTCTGTGGATGCAGTCACAGCCATCTTCTGCAGCCACATAGCATAGTGGCTTTTGGTATTCCTGATGAAAATCCCAATGTCTGACTGACTCTCTCCATTGCTGGTGTCTTTAGTAGGGTTTTTATTTTATTAGTTTTTATTTTTATTGAAGTTTTTATTGCTGTGAAGAGACACCATGACCACTGCAACTCTAAGGAAAACATTTAATTGGGGTGGCTCACTTACAGTCTCAGAGGTTCAGTCCATTGTCATCATAGCAGAGAGCATGGTGGCTGCAGGCAGATGTGGGGCTGGTTAGATCTTGACCAGAAGGCATCAGGAAGTTGATTACCTGAGTTTAGGAAACCTCAAAGCCCTCCCCAACAGAAACACACTTCCTCCAACAAGGTCATACCCACTCCAACAAAGCCACACCTCCTAATAGTGCCACTCCCTCTGAGGTTATGGGGGCCAGTTACATTCAAACTAGCACAGCTGGTAACTTTTGTTTTTAATTGGAAGCTTAAACTGTTTCTTCTCTATCCTTAGAGTTCAGTATTCCTTCTAGTAGCTGTCACTTTTGAGTCCTTACTTTTGGACTCTGTTGTTCTTTTCAGTGGCTATTGAGTTTTATTTTACAGTGCTGTGGATGGAACCTAAGGCCTTGAGCATGCTGGGCAATTTTTTTTTTTTGCCACATTTTGCCATGTGCTATTTATTACAAGTGATATTTGGTGTCATGCACACATATGCCCATTTTGTTTGTTTGTTTGTTTGAGACAGAGTCTCTTCATAGCCTTGGCTGACCTAGAACTCAGAAATCACCTGCTTCTGTCTCTTGAGTTCTGGGGTTAAAAGTGTGAGCTCATGCCTGAATTACATATGCCCATTTTCTTGAAAAGGAATTTTACTATGTCAAAAGGCTATGTGAACAGATCTCAATAGCTTGTAAAATGTCTACGGTGAACTTTGGACAGACGTAGATGTTTGTATCATTTGTAAGAAGACATTCATTTTCTTGTATATCATCAATAGTAGTAGGTAGTGTTTGGGTGTCTGTCTGCATAATCTACATGCATTCCACCTACACCGGTTACTTTTTCTTTGCTGTGACTAAATACCTAACAGCAGCTAGAAGCAGCTTAGGAAGGATTTATTTTGGTTCACAAATTAAGATAGAAAGACAGGCACAGACAGACAAGCAGATAGGTAAAGGCTATCATGACAGGGGAGGCATCACACCAGGACTTGGAGACAGCTTGTCACATTGTGCTGGCAGCTAGGAAGCAGAAAAAGGTGCTAGTGACAGCTGGCTTTGTTATTCAACCTCCTACCTCAGCCCTTCAAGATAAGGAACTGTCTACATTCAGTGTGGGTCTTACCTTCTAGCTGATCTCAACTGTCAGTTTGACACTGAGAAAGGGCACTTCAGTGTGAGAGATTGCGTGTCTGTGGGGCATGTGCTTGATTGCTAATTGATGGAGTAGAGAGTAGCCTGCTGGGAGTACTGCCATCCTTGGGTCCTGGGTATGGTCCTGGGTTGTATAAGAAAGCTAGTTGAACACAAGTGGCAGGGAGCAAGCCAGTAAGCAGAGTCTTGCCTTGGCTTCCCACAG